GAAAAGCCCTGCCCGGCAGCCTCAGTGGAGTTTCTTGCGAGGCTCATGGGAATTATCCATTACAAGCAGGGATTATCATGCAGTTTTATGGCTGTTGTTCCATTTATGACATAATCAATTCCAAAATGCACTGTTTCAGACTATGAAAGAACTCTGAAGCTAAGTGATGCTAACAGATATAATATGCTCTTCAAATGAAGAGACAAATAGTAATGAAGCCACATATGCATGCCAAATGCAAAAACAATTTATATGGGAGCAAATACCACATTCATACCATACTGACCAGCCTGCAGGGCATATTTTCACTTTTAAAGTACTGTATACAAAAATCACTTTGTACTTAATATGCCTATATTACAGACAAGAGGTCAATGTAATGGGTTTGGGCCTAGGGTCTCAGGTAAGCTGTTACTCCATATGAAGCACAAATTACCTATCCCCAAGGGGCAAACTGTGGGGAAAACTCGGCAAAATTTCACATCATATCAATTACCTACATTACTACAATAACATGCTATAGGCTACATGACTGATCTAGAAGTCAAGCTTAATCCTTCAGCATTGGAGAGTAAATTCATCATTCCTATAACTCACGGTTCAAAAGCAAAGGAGGAATTAAATTCAGGAATAATAGAATACCTTAATTTTCAAAATGTGGTAAATGGATTGCAACAGAATTTTAAAGTTAGTTTCTAATCCAATGAGTACCAATGAGTTGGGTGTGGTGGTGCATTCCTGTAATCACAGCAATCTGGAGGTTGAGGTGGGAGGATTCCAAGTTTGAGACCAGCCTGGACTACATACATAGTGAGTTTAAGTCCAGCATGAACTACATAACAAGACCCTGTCTCAAAAAAAACAAAACAATGACTATCAGTGATAAAAGAGAATCATCCTGATATGAACTTTGATGATGGCTTTCTGGTTTGGATATTATCACTGAATATTTCTAGGTTTTGAGAAAGATCAGTAACTACATACACTTAAGGGTTTGTTTTATTTTTTGAGGTAAGGTCTCACTATGTATTCCAGGCTGGCTTTAAAACTCATTATGTAGCCCAGGGTGGCCTCATACTCTTGGTGATCCTCTTGCCTCAGCCTCCCAAGCACTAGGATTATAGGCATGTGCCACCATGCCTATCTATACTTACTTGTTGTTTGACCATGATTTTTACTATAACAGTTTTTATTTGAGCTCATTCAAATTCCTGGCTGCTCTCTGTATTCAAACAGTAAAATACTTTCTTTTACCGGGTATGGCTTGTGTCTAGATGTTCCCCCAAAGCCTGAGGCAGTCATGGCAGGGGCACTTTTCAGAGGTGGTTGGATCTACAGTATGTGGTGCTGAGATCAAGGGAGGGTGATTACTAAATCAGTCCACTGATTGGTTTGGCACAGTTCTGGCTAGGATTAAAAGTGTGAATGCTATACCTGGCCTAGGACAGGTAGACTGCATACAATATCAGGGATGGAAGGAGGCTTGTCTTGACCCTTGTTGCTTTGCTGCCTTTTGCCCACCATTAACTGTTTCTCGTCTGTGATGCCTCGCCACTCTACCTTGGAGCCACCTAATTATGGACTGGAACCTCTATAAACTGTGAACTAAATAAACTTTTCCTCCCTTAACTTGGGTATTTTTGACTCAGCAACAACAGAAAAGTAACTAAAACAACCACATATATAAACATCAAGTTAAATTCCTTCACATTTTTATTTTAAATGCCTTGATGCATCATTTAATGAAATGTCTGTATGTACTACAGCTACTTAGAAATTAATTTGAATTTATTTTATATTGTGGTCCACTTTTATAACCTCTTAAACATGCTGATATACATAAAATAGAATTTTAATCCCAGTAAATGTTCTGGTTTTACTGCCATCTGTCTGTCAGTACTCATTTGTGCCATTGCTTTTCAGTTATGTGACATTATAATTCTATTCAAGGTTAGTACAATTTTATTGCATATCAGAACCTAGGCTTTTATCTTACATTATAATATACTCTATTCATTTGAACAAAATAATGGTTTATGTAACACTTATTACATGATAAAAAGTACTTAATTTTTTCCAAAAAATTTCCCCATACAGCTGCAATAAACACCTTTATATATGCCACCAAATATACTTCCAGGAGAAAATTCACATCACGTTTAAATTGTCAGTCTGCCCTTTCTTGGTTTTACAGTTTGTTGATACTTAATTTCTAGCTTTGTTTTTGCTCTATAATTACATAATCACTGTAAATTTAAGGAAGCTATACTTAGCCTTATGTTTGCATTTATTTGGATAACATAATAAAATTAAGGAATTAAATATTGCACAATATTAGAGCTAGCTAGTGGCCTAAATTGGTACTATATCAGGTACAAAATGCCAAAAAGCAATTTTAAAATAATGAAAAATCAAAGAAAATGTTTTTAAATTAACAGAAAAGGAAAGAAAACTGGAAGCCGAACTAGGTCTCCTAGACCTTTAGCTGTCCTTTGCCAATGTTATTTTAGCTTCCGAAAAGTAAATTTGCATTAGACATAAAGATATTAAAATCTATAGTGAAGCCATAAAGGTTACCATGATCAGTGGTCTCTAATTGCTCTTTCTGATCAAAATTCAAAGTTGAAACTTCAAAAACTGAATTCACAAAAAATGCACACATCAGAAAAACGCAGATATCCTAAAAGGTGCTATGCATCAGCTTCACTAGGAACTAAGATGAGGGATAATATTTTCTCTGTTGTCAAATTTCTATAGCTAAACCTTGTTATGACGTTTCCACAGAATACGAAATAAGTAATTTTTACCTTGATGCAACATCCTATAGGAATACGTCAGCTTTTAGCTTGCCAAAAAATATTTGTGGAATATAAAATCTTTGCCCAAGTAAACAAGAAAATCACTTATATTTTATTATTTTTAAGAGATACTTTGGCATATACGACCTTTTTAAGACACTTGAAATCACAGACAATCAATTATCAAGCTGGGCATGGTGGTACACGCCTTCATCATAGCAGCTTGGAGACAGAGGGAGAAGGACCGCACGTTCAAGCCCAACCTGGGGGACTCAAGGACTTAGCAAGACCCTGTCCCAGAAAACTGTAAAAAGGGGTATGGACATAGCTCACTGCAGAAGTCCTGGGTTTAATTTCCAAGACCGTGAAGATGATGACAAAGATGAGAACAAAGACTAAGAAGCTGCCAATGAACAAGGGGGAGGAGGAGGAAGAGAAAGAGGAAGAAGAAGAGGAAGAAGAGGAGGAAGAAAAAGATAATCACAGAGAAGACAGGCGCTAGTTATTTCTTTTGCTTTTTTCTCCCTGTAAATCAATCCTTTGTAGAAATCAGTTCACCCTAGGTCAAAATACATTTTAACGCTGTGACTATCATCTTCATGTCATAGGCATGGTAATCATTCTAATATTTTCAATTAACCCTACCATTTCTTATAAGCCACAACTCTAGACTAGCACAGGGACCTGCACCTATAAACCCAGCTACTAAGTAGGCTACGGTGAAAGGATCACTTGAGCTTAGGAGCTGGGGGCTAGTTTGCACAACTTAGTGAGCTCTTTCACTAAAAAAATTTAAATGACCTGCGCAGGACTCCAAGGTAATCAATAACCAGATTAAATGTGTCATGGGCTCGCTCTCTCTTTTTTTTTTGCGACTGTTAGGATTGAATCCAGCCTTTAACTGAGCTATGGCCTAGCCCTTTTCTTCTACTTTATATTATGTTTTATTATGAGTCAGGATCTTGCTAAGACAACTGTTGCCCAGGCTGGGCTCGAACTTTCGATACTCAGGTCTCAGGTCCCATAGTGCAGGCATGTGCACCATACCCAGCTCACTGTTAATATGTAATAGTATCAGCCTCAGAACTTCCATTTATGTTCACATTAGGAAGTCCATACATTAGCTATTATCAAAGTATATCGATTTCTTCAAGTAGGTTTTTAGTCTGTAAGAAACATAACTTTTAAAAAGAAGTCATTAAGGTTTCAAAACAGGTAAAAAGTCTGGGCTGTACATAGAATTGTAAACTGTAACCAAATTCTTGACTTCAATTTAAATAAGAGAGCTAAGATTTTCAATAGAAAAATTATCTTCAGTATTCTGAGATAAATAAAAATTCCTAATGATTCAATTCCTCTACAGTATTTTCCATTAAAACTGTATTTCCAGGTATAGTTTTTGTTTGTCTTTGCAGTGCTGGTGACTGAATCCAAGGCCTGTGCACTAAGCTATATCGCTAGCTCATTCATTTGTTCTTTTTTTCATTTATCCATTTATTTGGAGACAGGGTCTTCCTAAGTCATAACTGCCCAGTCTGGGCTTGAACTTGTGATCCCCCTGCTTCAGCCTCCCATAGTGCTGGAATTAGAGACCAGGCCACCACACCCAGCTTCCAGGCATACTTACATGTCACATATATATTGGCTCTTCTGTCTACCTTTTCTTTGTGTGATACTCTGATCATTTTAAAATATAAAGAAAGTTAACAATCCCTTAATTTATAACCACTTTGAATTTTATTTTACAGCACTTTTATTGAGACATCATGTGGGCCTGGGATTTAGCTCAGTGACACAGCACCTGCCTGGCAAGTGTAAGGTCCTGAGTTCAATTCCCAGTACCAAAAAAAAAAAAAAAAAAAAAAAAAAAAAAACCAAAACAAAAAATAAACAGAAAAAGAGCTATCATGTAACTTACTGACCAGAACCATTTACAAATATAATGTTTGGCCTTTAAGACAATTTAAAATACCTTTAAGTACTAAAATTTTACATCATGAATTGTCTAACTCACAAAGTGTTTCAAAGGGTGAAAAGAGGAAAATTTAAATCAAAAGTAGAATGATTTCCACAAAAACCACTGTTTTCCTTCCTTTTATCAAAAGAAGAAAGGAAAAGAACAGGAAAGAGGAAAAAGAGGGAAAGACAGGCAAGAAAAATACTCTTTTCTTCTCCATTTGCAAAAAAGAAGAAAACTCTCTGAGGTCTCAGAAAATAATGTAATCAAGACAGTTTATATTAAGGCATTGTCTTTACATGTTGTTGAATCCCATCATGCCTTTCATGTTGCCAGCAGCACCCTGTTGAAACTGCCTCATCATTGACTGAAGTCCTGCCATACCACCTAGAGTAAAAGCAAAGATGAGTAATTACTGAGCAGAACTTAAAAGATTTGTTAGTTTTGCCTAATGTGTATTTAACTTCCAAAAAACATTGTGTTCATAACAACTAAACATTTGTGGGGTCTTTTGTGTGTTTGTCTGTTTGTTTTGTTTGTTTGTTTTAAGACAGGGTCTCGCTGTGTAGTTCAGGTTGGCCTTAAACTCATTATGTAGTCCAAATGGCTTTGAATTCAGTGACGCTCCTGCCTCAGCTTCCCAAATGCTGCGATAACAGGCAAGTGCCACCATGCCCAGACTAAAAGTTTGTGTTATCAGTTTCTTCATGTGTGAAAGAGAATGAATAATCTACTGCACCAAGTTACTTGGAGGAGGGCTGGGGATATAGGTCAGTGGCACAAGTGCCTGCCTGGCAAGCACAAGGTCTTGAGTTCAATTCCTGGTACCAAAAAAAAAAAGTATGTTACTTAGGGGAATAAGAAAAAATATGAAAAGATCTTAGAACAACACCCGTCAATATATCTAAATAAAAAACTTGTTCTGACAAGACGAAGAGTCTTGTAAACAAAATTAAGACATATAAAAAGCTATCATTTATTAAACATCTACTATATACTCAGCATAGTATGCTTTCATGTACATTAGCTCATTTCATGGTCATGATTTCCTGGTAAGATGTTACTTGTGATTTTACAAAAGGGGAAAGTGATGGAAAAAAAAGAAAAAAGAAAGTGATGTTCAGACAGTTTAAGGGTCTTTTTAAAGTTACACCAATAAAAGTAGAACTGCAGTTCAAATTCCCTATGTAATTTCAAAGTCAATGAACAGATCCAGTATCAAAATAGGGCAAAAGGTCTCTAGAACAAGCACTAACAGATGATTAAACAGCTTGCTCAAAAATCACACTGAGGCCGGGCATGGTGGCACATGCTTGTAATCCCAGTACTTGGGAGGCTGAGGCAGGAGGATCACTGTGAGTTCGAGACCCACCTGGGCTATAAAGTGAGCTCAAGGCCAGCCTGAACTGCATAACAAGACCCTGTTTCAAAATGACAAAAAAAAAAACCAACACACTGGTAGCAATAGAGGAGTGAAAAAAATTTCAGCGGGAGGGAGGGCCCCCAGCGCACGGGGAGCCACGGGCGGGGAGCGCCGGTCTTCCGACCCAGCAGCTCACTCCCTGCCTCATAGGCCCCTGGAGGGAAGGCCCATGGTGCATGGGGAGCCATGCGGCCGAGAGCACTGTGGCGCGCCGGCCTTCAGGCCGGCCGCCGCTGCTCAATTAAGAACTATCATGACACAGAGAAACAATGACACAATTGGCCCTCCATTCACTGGCTGCAGATGCCCACCTAAGGATGTGTGTGAATCATTCAAACATGGAAAAACCCCTGGGAATACATGCTATACAACGGGCCACTCTTGCTCCTGCCATTGAGAACCAGAAAGGTCCAGAGTCAGCAGAGAAGCAGCTGTTAAACAAGGACTCGGAGAACATGAGAATGCAGACTAAGCCCACGGAGTCAGAGGTCCTGTGGACTGGGGTCATGAGAGCTGCTCGGAAGCTGTAAACCAGGAGGACTTTGCACAATACATGCGGAGACTCCCTGGAAGCCATTCTTCCCCTGACAGTACAGGCTGTGGTGGAGCTCTGGAGAAGTCTGCAGCAGGATTCCTTCTGCCTGTGCTGACAGTTGGGGAGAGGACACTAACTGGTTGTGGGGTCCCAATGCGATGGGAGGCTGGAGAGAAAACGCTACAAAAAATGGCTTTGGCCCCAGACGGCTCCCTTGATTTTTGACAACCCTTAGGCTGTAACTACTTGTTAGATCCTTCTTGCGTATCTCTGTCTTCCTGAGAAACCACTTTGAAGATACCACCATGGATTACAGCAGTCATTGATATTTTCCTACTAATCTGTCCATAACTCTGTAATGTTTGTATTGTTCCTATCCTATTTCATAAATGGATCCATGTTTATTATTATGTGTTTCCTACAACAACCACTGAGAATAGTTAATGATTATTCAAATGGTCACTCATGCATAGTTCTATTTATTTTCTTTCGAAGATACCTAAGTAGAGTACAACAACTATTGATAATCTCCTACCTCTTGTCTGTAACTCACTATTGTCTATTTGTTTTCCTGAGAAACTATCTTGTAGATAACAATATGTAAAACAATAACCATTGATAATTTCCTACCACTTTGTCTGTAATTTGGTAAGCCCCCCCCATTATTGTTATCCTTCTCTTACTCTTTAAAAAAAAAATAAAATTTCAGCTTATCTAGTGCTATTAACTATTCAACTTAGGATCAGGTGGTCATTTCCCTCAAATTACGTATTTCTGAACAGATTTCCATAATATCCAATGGAAGGCTGACCACTAAAACTCAATCTTTATCAATTAAATGGTATATTAGCAACTGGCAACAACTTTGTATTTACCCATGTGATGAAGAACTCTTGGATCCATCATTTTGGCCATCTGTTGATTCAATTTTGCCATCTGTGACTGGCTCACATTCTTAGACATGTCACCACCTGAACAAAACAGAGCTTTGTCATGTATGTAATACAGAATAGCATAGAGAGTTCAATAAACTGAGTAAAGACAAAGCTTTCACCTATAATCTTATTACCCTAACACAATTATTAATATTTCTACATATTCCCTATTTATCTTTATCCTAAGTACCTACTGTGTTTGAGGAAGAACAAATGAAATTCTATATAAAGAAATATTTAAATTTTTCCTAAAGCTGTGATGTTTTTCTAATACTCTTAGGTATACCTATGAATAAGCCACTATAATCAAACTGTATAGAGTCATTACCAACATGAAACTATAATAACAGTTGCTTAATAGTAACAATTACTCAATAATGAGGACGTCTGAACAAAAAGCTGAGTTTCTAGAGAGAGGGGCTAATTGGAAGAAACTAGATTATTGGTAAATGAACATGAGGAATGACTCTGAGAGAAAGGTGTGTGTGTATTTTAAAAATAATAAAAGCTTAAGAATGATAAATAATACAATTACATTTATCAAGCCATGTCCATAGACTTAGTCAAAATTCAACCCTAAAAAAGGGCAGTGGGCCAGGCATGGTGGCACATGCTTTTAATCCCAGCACTTGGGAGTCTGGGGCAGGAGGATGGCCGTGAGTTCCCGACCAGCCTGGGCCACAGAGTATGTTCAAGACCAGCCTGGACTACACAATCAGACCTTGTCGCCAAGAAAAAAAAAGCCAGTGAAAGAAGACGGCCTCAGAGAAAGCATCCTTTAGCAAACAGCTGTATTCTTAAGAGACAGGAAGCAAAAGATACCATCAAATTGCTTCAGCAAAATTGTTTATTTCAAAAGATGATTATGGTACTTCTCGAGAGCACTTAATAAAAATGAAAACCCAAAGCTGCTCAAGTCTCCACAGCTGGCTAATCTGAATTATGTTTTAATCATCACTATGAATGAAAGAGAAGACATGATTTCGTAAAGCATATAAAAACCTGTAAAAAATTGATGATTACTATGTAGAAAATGTGAATTCCTTGTCTACTGGTGATCTGGTTCTAAGAATTTGTTTTTCAGGACTGAAAATTTCTAGGAAGTATTAAGGCCTTGATGTGACAAGGGTGTGCACACATCCACCACCCCTTCATCGTGGCTGGGCCTATATACGGAAGTCAGCGCTGAGATAACTTCTGACTGCTCGGTCTGCAGCATTCTACCAAGAATAGCGTCAACTGAGAGATATGAAGCTGACATAAGGTATTTATTAAGCACTATATGGAACAGCATGAGATGCTGGGAATTATAAAATTTTAAGCACATTTTTCTAGCTTTTCTCTGTTGTCACAAAAGAAACAACAGGAGATGGCCAGCAAGAAAAATAATGAACTGTTAAAAACAAAGGCAATTTCAAATGTCTGCAAATACTCATTCTTTTTAAAAGCTATCTTTAGAGCTTGCCTAATAATCAGTATTTTTTAAAATGATAAATTCATTTAGAAAATAAGAGGACTGGAATAGTTGGTCAACTCCAGAAAAACAAACTTCCCTTTTGACCTTATACAATACACAGCCAAGTAAGTTCCAGCTAGGATTTTAAAAAGTCAAACAAAAATTAATAGAACTTCTGGTAATACAGCTCAGCGGCAAAGCACTTGCCTACCATGGCCCAAGTACCCGGATCAGCTCCCAGCACCACAAAAATAAATTAACAAAACCAAAAACAAGTAGAAGAAAATATAGGAGACTATTGTGGTATCATGCGCACAAAACCAAGAGAAAAGCAAAATGGGCTTGGCTACATTAAAACTGGAAACTTTTTTGGGTATAGTGCTGGGCACTGGAACCCAAGTCTGCCTCACACATGTCCAGCAAGCACTCTACCAGACCTATAACTCCAACCCGAAAAAGCGCAATTTCCGTTCATAGGATAATGTTAAATAAAAGTAAAAGGCAAATTTTAAAATGCAGAAAATATTTGCAGCATAAACCAGGGATCTGAAGAGTTCTTACTTAGCAATAAGAGGAAAAAGGAATGACTGGACAAGCACAGTGAAGAAGGGGTTCACAAAGGAAATGCCAAACAGTAAACGTACAAATGTTAAGCTACGTAGTAACATAAAAAACACATATTTAAAAAAAAAATTGGCCATTAACTTAAAATTAGAAAATTTAGACAGCATCTACTGTTTCTAATCAAAACACACAAAAATGGCTAGCTTCATGGAACTGCCCAGAAACTGAAATTGACACACAAGCACATCAATCACCCCAACTCTCCAACAAGAGGCATCACACAAAACACACACACATAACTGGGATACTAGCAGTATGTAAAGGTAATCATGATGTACTGGAAGAAGGCTACAGATGCATCAACTGTCACTTGTAACAGGGTCCACAGGATTCTCTGAGAGTAAAGGTAATATATATTCTAATTTTTTTCTTATACTTTCTTATATTCTCTAAATTTTCTACAATATGTATTATATATTTATGAAATTATTGTTTTCTTCAATGTTATCTTGAATTTGAAAACAGTTAAATTATAAAACACATTTTAAGTCCCAGTAGTACTTGGAATATAATATGAAATTCATCAGTGAATTTTCCAGTACTGGTAGTACACCTTGAGATTAACATTTAGTTTCTAAATTTCTGTCTTTTCATTTTGTTAATTAATGAGCTTATTTTTATTACCTTTGAAAAGTCCTTTGATGCCTCCCATCTTTTTTACCATCTGTGCAAACTTGGTATATTGCGTCAAAAGTTCTTGAACATCTCTTGTTGACACACCTGATCCTCGGGCTACTCTCTGGATTCTTCCTGGTTGCTTACTAAAAACCTTGGCACCATCTGTACTGTCCAGCTCTGAGGGTGAGGGTCAGTTACTTTCACTTATAATTATTATTCATCGTCAAAGCAGTTATATGCAAATGGGTAATATATTACTTCAAAGAACTTAACAGCTGTTTCTCACATACAGAAAAACAGATATAACAAATGGTCAAACTACCACACAGATTTAACAAATGTTATCACTTGACATGTTTGCTTCTGGTTTTTAAATATCAAACATGGAATATATTCAAAATAATATTTTAGTATCCACGAGCTATAAAAACAGTACAATAAATGCACATGTGCCTTACTTACAGTTTAAGTAAAAGAGAACATTCTAAAACCTTTTAAACCCCCTTGCCTACCATTTCTGTAGTTCACCTGCTACCCTTTCCATGCCCTCCACATACCAGAGGTACATGGTATATTTCAAAAAGAACAGAGCTGCTCACCTTAATTCTATCCCAAGTTAACTATTAACCTTTAGTTCATAACTTAGGCTATATAAACAATCAGGAGAAAGGTTTCATCTATAAGAACACAAAAATTGTGTTTCCTAACATCAAATAATTACTACTAGTAGTATTTTACTCGTTTCTGTAGCATATAAAAAAAAAATGAGTTAAAAGCCAGACATGGGGGCATATTCCTGTAATCTTAGCACTCTGGGAGGCTGAGGCAGGAGGATCACAAGTTCAAGCCCAGCTACAGCAATATAGCAACTTGAGATCCTGTCTCAAGATAAAAAAAAAAAAAGAGGAAAGATAGGGATATAGCCCAGAAAGAAGGCCTTAAATTTAATAACAGTACCACCAAAAAAAAAAAAAGTTTAATCTGGTGGTGATTTCCTGTAATCCCAACATTCAGGATGATAAGGCAGCAGGATTGGAAACTTGATGCCAGCCCAGGCTACACAGTAAGACTCTGTCTCAAAACCACAATGACAACAACAACAAAACCAACCACTTAATTCCCTGCAGTTTTTTGATCACTCAGCATATGAGGTACACTTCGGCTTATTTGCATACAGTCTCAGGAACAGGATAGTCATTAGTCAAAACTTCAATTTTGTCTGTATTCTGTCTAGTCTGTAACATCCTCCTGTAAGTGGTTAGCTAGTCCCACTCTAACATCTCCAGGAGAGATGGGCCCACTGTGTAAAATAAAACAGTCTTTGCTGTTTTGTTGTCTCTGTAATTACAGGAGTTCTTCCACATGCTGAACTGAAATGTGTTTGTGTGGTACTTCTATTTGGGTTTGTGTACGCAGCCTTTCAGGTGTTTAAAAAAAATGAGGCTTTCAGATACTTGAAAGCCACCATGACTCCTAGATAGGTACTGGTTTAGAGTAACTTGAAAGTTCTTACTCAAAGGGTTATGAGAATTAAGAGTTACTATAAATCTACCTCAAAATCTCTTCAGTCTAAATTTCCCCCTTCTTGTCAATGAAACTGTGAAATCTCAATTTGCTGACATTTAGAACTCCGTCCCTGAGTCAAGGACTCTGCCACCTTACCTTGGTCATTCATGCTATCCATTATGGTCATTAACTTCTTTAGTCTTGCCATTGACTCCTGTTCATTTCCTTTGCTCATAAAATCTGTTCCAAAGCCAGGGATCATCCCCTATCACAAATTTAAACATAAAGTCATTAACTGCTGAAGGTTAACTGTTCAGATGCCCACAAGTAATACTGGCATTACTACTGACACTAATTCTTAAAAGATCTATTTTTACCCAAATAATTAAAGCAAGCGTATCTGTTCTTAGAAATTTCAACAAAAAGTAAATGAGTAAGAAAGTATAAAGTAAATTTTTAAGGATAACTAACCAAGATCTGACTGAAGGGGCCCATTTTCATGATATTTTGAAATTGTTCATACATGTCTCTCAATGTAAACTGACCTGCAATACAATATAAATGATTTAGGCACATTAGAAAATGTACATTTCCTTTCAACAGTACCATTTTTGCTTATCATGGATTCATTTTGAAGCATACCCTTGAGTACATGTTCCCATGAGTAAATATATAGCGCGCAGTTACTATGTGTGTGATGACAGCTGGAGGGAATGCAGAGGCCGGGGCTGACAGGACTCGAAGCAGCTGCCTGACGCACACACACATGCCACACATATACACAAATATGCATATAATACATACAATTTTGAACAAAAAAAACAGATTACAAGAGTATTCTAACTTACTTTTCACTTGTTTTTATTTAAACCCAATGAAAGCCTCAATTTTAACCTTAAGTCAATTTGATTACAAGAAAATGAATGTAACTATTCAGATGGCTGAGAAAGAAAATGATTTACATGCAAATCATCCAAAACAGTAAGCACTTGAAGAACTGACTAGTAATACGTATCATCACTTGAATTAATAGTAGCTTTATCAGAAAGAAAGAAGGAAAGACATCAGCGATCAAGTTTTTTTGCCACTCATACCATGTTTCAACTTCTCTATAAGAGCTTCATTGTCATCCAACTTCAACTCGTTGACTTTATCGATCAGTCCCTCAATGTCACCCATACCTGTAAGGCCCCCAAAAGAAAAGTGGACAATAGTAAACTCAGCTTTATCTGACACAGAACACATTCACATGTGTAACAGCATTGCAAGGTAGGCAGTTCAGGTGCTCTTACTACGTTTTACAGGTGAGGAAACTGAAACTAGGAGATAAATGGCGGCAGAGAAGAAACAAGGCAGGGCCTCCAGCATGTTTTTTTGTACTACACGCTAACACTTTTTTCCAAAGAACCTGCATCTAATACCTCATCTTATCAACTGTACCATAGAAATCAGATACATATCACCCCTATTTTACAAGTGAGGAAGATAAGTCATAGAAGGAAATGGATTTTCTTAAGCTAGTTAGTGGACAAGATTAAAATCCTAAACTGTTCCAAAAAAATTCTCAGAGACTTTTCTGTATTCCCACCACTGTACATACCAAGAAGTTTGCTTATGAAAGGCTGTGTTTTGAAAGGTTCGAAGTCATCTATATGTTCTCCTGTACCAATGAAAATAATTGGACTTTTTGTGGCAGCAACTCTGCACAGAAAAAGAAAATATAACCTCGAAAAGAAACTTCCAGCAGGTTTTCAAAGCTAAACAGACAAATCAATAAAACTTAATTTTTTTTTCACTAGTTAAAACAGAACTATATCATGAGACTCTAAAATTCTATTTAAACGTCCTTTATAGGTTATCTTAAGTCCACTACTGGAATATATTTTAAAAGATAAACGAGAAACTCATAAATAGACAGACACACATCCTGTAACCCCACGACAGAGGACAGTAACATCAGTGATACTTACGCACTGAGCGCGCCGCCTCCTTTTGCATGACCATCAAGTTTTGTCACTATTACTGAGGCTACATCGACTTTATCTTTAAAAGCCTTAGCCTGGGCCTCACAAGCCTGCCCAATGGAGGCATCCATCACGTAAACAATGTTATCAGGTTGCTAGAAAGTTTAAATAGAAAAGGAAACATTTTTATTGATTTTAATAAATTTCATCATTAGAAGCTATAGAAAATTTACTATAAATATTAAATCAATAAATATTTGCTGAGGGAGTACTATGAATTAAGTGCGTAGCTCCTTCAGGACAAATAAATAAGAAAATCTTTGTCCTTCCAACACTGCAAATAGGGACAGGAAAGAAAATCCTTATCCTTGTGGTGCCTGGCAGATAAGAGAGGCATCTTTAGGCAGGATAGTCAGGGAAATGCTTGCTGGAGGTAGAGAGGTAATGTTTGAGCTGAGATTTGAATACAGAAGAAGTTATGTGCAAGAACAGCATTTTGGGCAGAGGAACAGCAAGAGCAGAGCAAAGTAAACTGGAAGAAAGTGGCACCAAAATTAGTAAAACAGGTTGAGGTATTTCCTTTAGACCTGTTCACCCTGGGCAAAATAACTGCATTAATAATAAAGAATGTTACTAGCACTAGTCATTACTCAAACATTACTGCCAACAGCCCAAGGGCAAAGCATGAGTTCCTAATATATGCTATAAGTTATCTATAAATTGCTGCTACCTCCTATGTTACTTTCATCAATTTTAAAGAGATTAAATAATAATAATTTTGAGTGCTTCATTTTGAAAAACTTTCAAAATTCAGTGGTATAGTTAGAAATAACCTACACAAAGGAAATTCTACAGATATTAAGACTAATTCTTAATTTGTCATATTTTTGTTTTTTTTATGTATTTTGGAGCCAAAAATGATGAGAGTAAACCCTTAACATAGAGATACAGGTGCATAAAATAGAAAGAAAATAATTACACTCTGCCTTACAGGCAAAAAGTAATTTATACTGACCATAAAATCAATCAGATTTTGTAATTAAATTAACCAAAATCATTAAGATGGAAAGCTACTTACAATAGCATTAGCAACTTGAAGCATTTCTTCAAACAAAGAGTCTTCCTGTTTGTGTCGGCCACTTGTATCAACAATAATTATTTCAAAGTTTTCATTTTTGAATTTCTCCACTCCTTCAGAAGCAATGATAACAGGATCCATTTCTGTATAGCTATATAACATGGACAAGTGATTTACCAACCACAATGATAAAACTGCCAAATATATTAATTTTGAAATTGTCAATCTATCTCTTTAATCTGAAAGTCAAAATGATCACAATTTCAATTTAGAATAAAATTTATCATAAGTACTGAATACACAAATAGACTTCTAGAACAGCATGACATACTAGCCGACTCTCCAAGTACAAAAGTCTGTATGATTCAGCTGTATGCCTTTTCTGAATGAGTTGCTTCCTTAAAATTATTTTTCTTACATCTCCTTTAATAATTGAACTCATGTTACAAAGCAGTGTTTGTTTGTTTGTTTTGGAGGTACTGGGGGTCAAACTCTGAGCCTTGCCCATGCCCAGCTATCAGTAATCTACACATTCAGTCCCACGAAGTATTTCATGTCTGCATTTCTATTTAATACTCTTCTGTAACCACTTTATAAAACCATTAAATATTCTTATAAAATGTAACAATGTGCACAGTGAATTCAAGGTCAGCCTGAACTACAAAGTGAGACTTTATCTCAAAAACACCAAATGTAACAAACATAATGTAACTTTTAAGTTATATAGCATACCATCAGATGGCTATGCTATATTTTACAAAGTAAATGCCTTATTGTTGGGTGTTTAAAGTTATCCCAATTTCTTAGTATTAAAAACATGGCCAATACGAATAGTTATATAAATCTTATTTCTTACAAGTTGAATATGGGTCAACGACATGATCACTTAGGCCTTTTTTAAAAGGAAAATACCCACCACAGAAGTTTAATCCCATTCCTTTTTCATTACATTTTCATAATCTCTGGCAAAAATCTTTACCAACTTGGAAATCAAAAAATGAGGTCACATTCTACTTTGCATTCTTCTGATTGGTGGCAATTTTTATACAGATTAGAACTGCCCAAGAAAAAGACATTAATTTTTTAAAAAAGTTTTCCCTAAGTTAAGAACAGGCAGATGGTGGTACATGCCAGTAATCCCCACACTCTACAAGCCTGAGGCAAGATGACTGCAAATTTGAGACTGATCTGGGCAACTTCCTTTGGAGTGAAGGCCCTGAGTTCAACCCCTGGTATCACCACCACCACCACCACCAAGAAAAAATCAAGTAGGAATGTACTTAGTAAAATTATCTGTAAAATTTAAATGAAGAAAGTTACCATACTTGACTTTATTTTCCCTCAAAATACTGGAGACTGAACCCAAGGCCTTCCTACTGAGCTAAAACCCCAGCTCATTTTTTATTTTGAGACAGGGTCCAAGTTGCTAAATTGTCTAGACTGGGCTTGAACTTGCAATCTTCCTGGCCCAGCTTCCCAGAATGCTGGAATCACAGCTGTGCATCACAGCACCCAAATTCACTAGCTTTTGGCCCATCAAAAAGTGGAAATCCTTCTAAATGAGAAGTGTCTCAAGTCCTTCTAAATTCTATCGAGATTGAATTGTCTGAGAACCGGAACATGTATAAACTATTTCATAAATCAGTGATGTATACAGTAAGGGGTAGCAATGATCAGAATCTCAATCTGAGGTAATTTGAGATTACAAGTCATTTTAAGATAATCAAATGCAAATGTTTCATGATGATACACTATGTGTTTTTATGTGATAAACTAAAGAGCTTCACAGTCTGTCCCCTGATTGTGTTCAATGGTGGAACGCTTCAGACAGGTCTTAAAAGAAACAGGAATAAAGAGGTAGAAGGAAGTAGGAAAGCACACCACACAGGGTAAGTATAGGCAAAGTCATAAATCACACAATGTCTGCTTTGATCTACCAGGCTGGGTCAGAAGGATCACATTAAAGTAATAAAAGATAATGTTAACTATACCCCTATTTTGCTGCAGAAAGGATTATATCCAGAAACTACATGTTAAAATGTAACCAGATAACATGAAATTTTAAAAAGTTAGATTAAACAAAAGTTAAATGGGGCAAGGTGGCACATGCCTGCAACCCTAGCTACAACGTTTGGAAGGGTGAGGCAGGGGGATTCTAAGTTGAGGCTGGCCTATGCGATTCAGCAAGCCTGTCTCAAAAGAAAAAAAGAACTGAGGGTGTAGCTCAGTGGTACAGTGCTTGCCCAACATGCATAAACCTCTGGATTTAATTCCCAGTAGAGGAAAAAAAAAAGGCTAGATAGACACACAAAATACAAGAATACAAGATGAAGCGTGTGAGTATCAAAAGAAAAAAAAGTAACCTACCTTCCATAGAATGGAATTCTTGCTTTGGTAGCATTCTGTTTTAATTGGTCAAAAGCCCCTAAGAGATAAAAATTTAATGAATCCTCCAATTTGAAAATAAAAATTATAAAAAATAATTTTTAAATTTCAACACACTACCTGCTCTGAATGTGTCTGCACATATCAAACAGGTCTTCCAACCTTTCCTCTGGTAATAATATGCTAACTAGGAACAGAAGATTAAAAAATAATATCGTAAGACATAAGAAATTACTATATATAATTCCTTTACCTTTATTTACCTAACAAATGAAGTAAATCTGCTCATAATCGTCCCCAGTGTAATACTACTAAATATTTTTGAGTACAGCAAATTTTCTAATGAGTTTATAAAGTTGCATTCAAAGGATATAAATTGACGAAGCAGCGATACTTTTTAAAATGTTCACTATTAATGTTGATGAAGTTAAAAAAAATTACTAGAAGCTTGCAAAAAATAATCCTTTTTTCCCTCAAAAACTGAAACATAATTGAGGCATGTGACAAAAAAATCTGGCAACACTACTGAGGCACCCAATTCTAGAGGAAGGGATGGCATAATGGTTAAAGAATAGCATAAGGATATGCGAAATAAAGACCCCTATTATGCAGGTTACAACACTGAAAAGGACTCTTGGTTCACAGAAGATACCGTAAACTTTCTTTGCTCTTTTCCAAAAATCACACACTCATGTCCATACAGAACAGGATGGCTTTTTGTCTAAACAAAATAAATCGTAACTCTCTAAGTCTGACACTCAAAAAAAGCAATTGCATGAGACTAGGGTTCTCTCTACTTTTCCTAATAAAACTCTCACAAAAATATAATGGATACAGCAAATAACCTGAAATTGTAAAATAGCAATGTTTTATAGCCGGCTTCAGAGTAAAACTCGATTTACCTACACGTATCTTCTATAGGACTTCTTAAAAGTATGATTTACCTTTGAACACGTAGTTGTTTTCCCACTCCCCTGCAACCCAACAAACATGATCACATTCTGTTTTCCTTTTGTGGGTGTCCATGCTTTAACTCCAGGATCTACAAGCTGTATGTCACAAGTAAAATAAAAATAAAATCAGGTTAACACATGCTTACATTCAAAGTCCAGCCTCCTAGAAACTTCAAGTTATAAATAATTTGAGGAATTTTCATATAAAAACCACCATAATCCTATCATTCTAATACCACTCTATTATTCCTCTTATACACAGAGCAAAATTTAATAATATTCCATTGTAAAGTCATAAGCAAGACTTTACTACTATCTCAAGTCAGAACTAAGACTCTCAAAATATTTTTCAGAACAAGCTGGAATATGAGCTAAAATGTGAGACCAAGTTTGACTCAAAGGAGCAATCTTTTATTACCCACTGCAGAAATATAACACAAGGCCATATATGAATTTTAAAATTTCTAGTAGGGACCTTAAAAAAATAAAAGCAGCTAAACTTGATTTTAATATTTTATTCAACAGTATGTCCAAAATATTACCACTTAAAAATGTAATCTAGGCCGGATGTGGTGGCACACGCCTGTAATCCCAGCACTCAGGAGGCTGAGGCAGGAGGATCACTGCAAGTTCGAGACCAGCCTGGGCTACAAAATGAGCTTAAGGCCAGCCTGAACTGCAAAGCGAGACCCTGTCTTAAAAAGACAAGGAAAAAAAATGTAATCTACGAGGTAGTTTATGTTCCTTTTCCCATACTAAGCCTTCAGATAGTGTGTATTCATACACAACACTCACTCACTCATTCATTCAGTGGTCCTGGGGACCACACCCAGTCTTGTCTTGCGCATGCTAGGCAAGCTGTCCACCACTGCGATACGACCTCAGCCCTCGAGTGCACATTTCACATGCGATGCACAGCTCAGTTCAGACTCGCCGTGTCACAGGTGCATGGTAACCACATTCGGCCAGTGGGCACCACGCTGGAAAGTGCTTGTGTCCCACTTGGCAAATGTTTATAAGGAGCTAAATCACGAGTGATGTGAGAAAGGATTTGCAGGTTAAATATTACATGTGGCAATGCCAAAAAGTTTCCATTCTATAAAGTTATTGCAAGTAGAGGGCTGGTAAAAAATAATCACTAGTTGTATAAAAAAATATACATGGAAAAAAAAATCACCAGGTTTTTTTTTTGTCTTTTTGAGACAGGGTCTCGCCATGCAGTTCAGGCTAGCCTTGAACTCACTTTGTAGCCCAGGCTGGTCTCGAACTCCCAACAATCCTCCTGCCTCAGCCTCTTGAGTGCTGGGATTACAGGCGTGCACCACCACGCTTGGCTATAAGGTGTTTTAAAAGCTTATTTAAAATAATAACTCAATTATAAGTCAGTTACTTGGAGGTTGAAATATTTATCTCCATATGATAATAGATCTGTAATAGCAGATTAATACTACTTAGGTTGGAAACCGTGAAAGGTTTAATGGAATACTGCCACCTCCATCCACTTACTATTTTCCTGTTGCAAAAGCAGAGATTAGCTGTTACAATAAAGACCACATGGTCCCAAAGCCTAAGCCCTTAGCAGGAAGTTTGCCAAGCCCATTCTAATACTACTTATCAAGGTCATGTATTACACTTGAATTTTGAGGAAAGATCTATTGAGAGAAAAGGAAAAATACATTATCTTACCCCTTTCCTAAATTCAAGTTGGGAAACTTGAAATAGGCAAAATCTGGGGTTGGGGGGGGTAGGGGTGTG